GGAACTCCGTCTCGCAGACTGACATTTTCTTCACATCGGCTTTCAAGGATCTCCTTCAGCACTCGCGATATCCCCTAGCGGGCACTGGGTCTGGTTTACCACTACTTCTCGTGTCACCTCTTCCTGTTGCGGCAGCAAATACTTTACTCCACATGTCAGCTAGTATCGTCCTACTGCCACTATCTTCTTTAAAATTGCGTGCCATTCTTTTGTACAGTGAGGGCAGATTATACCTCGCTGCACTTTTGTCCTCGTGGCTGTAACTATCAGAAGCACCGCCACCGCTTATGGGAAATCGTCATCATTAGTATACGTTAGCCGAGGGTGAGATACACACCTCAACTAATGTGCCGCAATACAAAAAAGATAAGGGATTAAGCAGTACAGCCTATAAAATCTCTAACAAAGATAACATAATGCTAAGTATCACATTACGCATAGGGTTTGAGATCGACGTTGTAGGCGGAAGCTAAAGGGGAGGGGACTGACAAAGAGACTCACAACACAAATGCCATGGAGGTCGACTCTTCACTGTGTCAGCTAGCGTATCCAACCAGACAAATACATCGTCCTTCGGCCTCCAGCCCGGCAGTCGGGAAACACCAACCGACGCCGATTTCAAAGTGAGGATCTTCATTCCTCTTGACCAAGTCATCGCTTGGTCTCCCCTCCTCTTCTCATCCAGACCACGGGCACGTAGACGCACGATGCGGGAGTCGGTGTGCTGGTATACGCAACACGTGGCCCAGCCATTGGTGTCTGGTGCGTGATATAATGGTGCTGAGCGGTTCACTCGCTCTTCCTGCACCAAATAGACGACGCTCAACATTCATTGCTCACGCGGTGCTCCCACCAGACATGAGATAACCAGGGAAAACAGCGATGGTCGGACGTAACAATCCACTTGATGGGCCTCGTTTCGCAACAGTACATAAGGGTTGAACGGACAGCTGCATTGTAAACTCTGCGCTTCAGGGCGAGTGATGTCGCGCAGACGCCACAGACGGGGGACGTTGACAAAAGCGCCTCGGGCTTTTGCTATACGCTTTGTGATCTCATCTTCCATTCCGCTGGTGCTGATATGGCTGCATTTATACTTGAATTACTCGGCGACTTCAAGCCGATCACCTCCAAGGGTCAACGCGTAGGTGGTACCCTGTCAATCTTGGAGGAGGACTTTGCACTTCGAGGGTGCAAAGCATGACCCGAAACGACTGACAACCAGTGCTAATTTATCCAGTGCCACTTGGCACGGTTGAAAGCTGTCACAGATAAGGCTAATGTCGTCGGCGTACTCTAAGCCAAGAACTCGGTCATCTGTGAGCAGCTCCACGTCTTTCAGATCGTGTTCAGTGAGCGTAGTCTCCATGACTTTGTCAGTGGCGAAGTTAAAGAGAAAAGGTGACAGTGGGCAGCCTTGTTTTACACCGCTGCAGATATTGAAGGGCAGTGACAGCTTACCGTGGACCCTCACTGTCCGCACTATGTGTGTACAGCGCTCTTATGACATTTATACCTTTTCTGTGTGGATGATTCCCGAGGCTACATTGATCAACAGAATCAGAGGCCTTTTTGATGTCTAGGAACAAAACAACGGTGGGTCGTCAATAAACATGGCGGTGCTCCAGCAACTGACGTAAAGTGAAGGTGATCAATACGGCCGCTTGTATGACGAAACCCGGCTTGTTTTTCGCGAATCTGGCTTTCACGTATGCCCTTCAGTCTATGGAGGACGACTGAGGCCAGTAATTTAGAGGCAGTGGATATTCTGATTCGTCTATGAATCTCACATTCTGAACAGGAGCCTCCCTTGAAAAATGGGACCATAACGGAGCGGCTCCAGTCTGTTAGAACAGTCTCCTACACGCATAGATTCACTAATAACTTACGTAAGTCGTCCAAAAGAGCTTGCCGTCGAATTTGACGAGCGTCGGAGGAAGTCCATCTGCTATGGCGGCCATGTTCACTTTCAGCCGTGTGATCTCACTTTCGATTTCTGCGCGTGAAGACGAATCCAAGGGGACGGTTCAGGAGGTGGGACGCTCATTGGCCGATGTAGAAGCTGGCAAATCTGATTGATTAAACTACTTCTTATAGTATTCGGCCTAACGCTCCAGGCGCTTTGACAAACTGTGGATCGACCGTCCACTCTCGTCGCGTATGGTCTCGCTAACACCAGGCTTCCTGTTGCCCGTTTCTTGTATCAGACTGTATAACTTCCGATGGTTATCAATGGCAGCGGCTGTCTCCATCTCCGAGGCACGATGAGACCTCCAGTCTTCGCGATCACTCTTCAGGCTAGCACGCAGTTTTTCCCTTAGAAGTTTGGGAGTTTCATTGTATTTCCTTCCAGTCGAAGCATCCAGAAGTTCAAGAGACTGTGTGGAGACCCAACGTCTAGGTTGGTGATTAGATTTATCACATGGAGACATGCCTGCTGCTAATACCGTCTGGTGGATGTATGACCAGTGGTCTTCAAGTGTGTTCATTGAGCGTTTACTCAGGTCAAATGCCTGCATACTTTGAGATGCATTCTGAAGATCTAGCTTCACTAGTTGGCAAGTATCTATGCGCTCACATGCCGTTGCGGACGTCTACCGAAACGCACCAGGAGGTCGGTGCAAACAAGTGTGTGGTCATAGTCCACGCTCGTGCTCTAAATCGAGTGACAGTTTTGAGCGCATCTTCTCCAGCAGTAAGTGATCGCTATGTGATCGATTTGTGTCCATGGCTGCTCCGAACTTGGTGGGCGCCTTGTCACCCTTCTGCGGGTGCTGTGTTGGAAGTTAGTGCAGGTGTAGCAACCGCTCACCGTTATCATTACAGGGGCCTGTATCATGTTGGCCACACAGATGAAGCTTATTAGTGTACAGTTTTCTAACTTGGGTGTTCAAATCACCAGCCAATGCCACAGTATCCGTACTTCTGCAGCGAAGGAGCGCGCTCTATTGGTAATGGAAGTCGCCTTTCACCGACTCAACGCTGCAATTGTTGGGTGCGTAGGCCGCAGTGACAAACAAGCACCGTTTGTACCCACGCGATTTCGATGCTTTGAATGAACCAGCCAGTCTGACGACGCATATCCGGCTGTTCGTTGATACCCAGTCGATCAGGGGACAGAGAGCTGTGGAACAAAGAGCAATGTCCACACCGATTTCACCGGCATTTGAGGCCGCGTCATCTCTGGACAAGCGCGGGGAAAACATACCAACAGCGTTGCACGTCGGGGACCGCAGCGTATTCACAGAACTGGAAACTTGTGATCGAGTTTCCGATCAGCAGCAGTTAGGGTTTCCATTGTTCGGGCAAGTGCTGCCTGTTGGCCATTCAACAACAAATTGCTCATATTGAGGCATGCAAGTCTTAGGGAACATCAATGGCTCCAAATAGAAACAGATGGACTGACGTCCGTTTGGCTGGGCATGAAGTTGCCGACGGGATCGTGGCGACTCCCTGCGATCGCGTGCGAGTCGAAACGAAGCTAGACTACTGAACCAAGATGGGTGAGGGCGAAGAATTGGGGGGTTGCATACAGCGGGGATAAAAGTGAAGTTGAAACGGGAGGATAAGGATGAAAACGCGCGAGAGGGAGGAATAGAGGAAGGTTTGAGCGGTAGCACTCAAACCCCTATCCACTCTGCTCGAAACAGCAGATGAGACGCTGTTGATTACCCTCTGCGGCGACCAGAGCATTAAGAAATTTTTTGAAGAGAGGTTCATTGTATGGCGTTTGCAGGAGACTGTTAGGTTACCCAGGCTTAGACAGGAGAACGATTAGGGTTCTCAACCAAAGCTGGTTCAAAAACCTGACTGCAAAACAGCGCGATTTCGGCACTGGGCTACACAGAGTCCATTTTGTGGTGTAAGCGGCCACTCTCACTCCAACCCCCAACCTGGGGGACCAGGAGACTGAGTTTGTCAGGCGTTTAACCATTGACCAAACTGTTATTAGTGGCTCTGATGGTGTAAAAGTACCACCCAGCATAGCCCAATAGATCGCTGAAGCAAGCAAATCGCACCGCGTTAAAGGCCAGTCTCGTCGCGATTGGCTTATGAGAAAGCTTTCAAATCTATTCAACTTTTACTCCTGCGCTCGTGTAGTGTCACTCGTCTCTGGTGAGAATTCCGAATGGGCACTGCTGAGATCCCCACTGTTAGTCTTAAGCATGCGATGCTGCACCACCTATTCCGATTACGCTACTTTCTTCGAATACCTGCCAAACGTCTGAATCGGTGTATATTGCTTGTTAATGCTGTGCTCAGTTGGTAAAACTCCGCTTGGCGTGTCCATTGGACACCACCATTACAAAGATGCAATGTGAAACTAAATGGTGAGGTTCGGCGGATCTTTGCGTCCTTTTTCCTGGATCGGGATGGACGCCGCACTCTCACCTCGACAACAATGTTCTCCTACTGTCTTCCTTTTGATCACCATTTTATTACTACACTTCTACTCGCGTTGTCTCCAGCGTGTTATTTTCTTTGTTATTACAAAATATATAAATAACTAAATCGCCAGTTCTACGCCGTAACAGCGCTTCACTGCTACGCGACCACCACCAATCGCGCGTGGGCTGAGTATACCGCGAGGACGCCCATCCCTAAGCGGATTCGAATCGGTGACCTTATGGTTGCAAATCAGGCGCGCAGGCCACTCGGCCACCGGCCGACTTTTCTTATCATATAGGCGCGTGTCACGCCGACTGAGTTTGCCACGTTTCCTTACTCGATCTGTACTTATTTTATCAACGATGTGTGTCACTCTCTTTGCGTTATTGGTTTACATACCACCATTCTAGGTCTATAGCCTTCGACTAAAGTACACTACAGCCAGCGCTTGAGCGGCTATAGAAGCCGCTACAGACTGCGAACTGTGGAGCCTCGATCCTCATCTAGTTGTTACTACCTCATCACTACTCTGCACCTCTAGTCGTCTAATGGTTCTTTCTAGTTTGTTCCTAATCACTCATCCCCATGTATTCTGCTCATTTCGCATGCAGACATTATCGCAGAATGTGCTCGCTTCTTATGGATGTGGACGAGTGGGGGCAAGTCGTGATGCTCGATATGCTCACTCGATATGCTCGGACACAATTTTTGGAACCGAAGCGACTGGTCACATCGGTGAGTTCCGGAACACCAACTGTTAGTCCTTTGGTTTTTTTACCTTTCCTCACGGTCGTTGAAACCATGCTTATCACAAATGACAGCATATCTGTGCTTCACACTCACGCCTCGCCGATATACAACTGCAGCTCACAGAACTCAGCCATACTGTCGAATGAAAAGAAGGGTGCAAGTTTACTCGTAATCCCGGAACCCAGTAAACAAGCATTCAGGGCCAAAGTTCCTACGTCTTGCTAACATCTGATCATTCCTTGAAGAGTGGATGGCACCGGCAAGCTGGCTGTCACGTAGCTTTCACTGCTTTGCATCCTCCTACCCAACGTCTCCTCAAAGGATTCAGTGACAGATACCCAGACACGCAATGGTGCGGATTGCAAGCCATGCTATGTAATATCTAAGCACAAGGTGGTTTGCACGGTCCCTAGCATGAAAAGCCGGATTCATAAATATGACCCAGTTTAGTCATCTATTTATTTGCAGATTCATCACCATCGTCCTTGAAACTTGCCCCTTGTCAGTTCCAGCAAACAAAACTGCCTCCCATGGTAGGCCGTGTGCACATCAAAGATTGCACACCTTAGTTTAATTTTTGGTGATTTAACGATCTGTCTAGAACTCACCTGCGCAACTCTTCGTTGCGGACATGCAGATGACAACCACGACGAGCATTTCTCCACCATTGTCAAAGGTCGAGAGGTGCTCCAGGTTCTCCGACCGAAGAAGTTATCTTGCACTGCCGTGGGAAGCACGGCTGTCACTGTTACCTTACGTACACAGCCTTACTGATCGATGGTGATAACTTTCCGGCACAACAGTTGTCGCATCTTCCTGAACTCAACAAGTCTTCGCAACTATGACAGCCAAAACCCCATAACTGTGAATTGGTCCATCACCTTCAATTCTTCGTCCTTGGGGTATTGCGTTTATCGAGATGATGTGAACACTGCAACTGCGGTTTGCACTTTGAGGGTGCGATGCACATCCCGAAGGGTCAGGTTGTTGCATGGAATCTATCCACTGTTGTCTGAGGGTTCGTGGCAGCCAGTTCCAAATCATATAGTCGTCTTCATGCCCGGAAAAGCACTGCACTGGAGTTTCAGCGTGTTGAGCATCATCCTTAGTACGCATCCATCGGATCCATCATGGTCTACGGCAAGCTTATTTCGCTCTTCGCTGTCAATGGCGGTGTGCGATAGGGCTGCCCTATGTCCTCATTGCTCTTCAATTTCACACTTGAGGACGTCCTGTTGAGAGATCTGGTAGATTGCCAAAATTTCGGCCTAGAGCTTCCACCAGGTGAGCGCCTGACCGACTTAGATTATGCTGATGATATCGCCTTACTTGATGACGATCCACATGGCATGCAACTCATTCTGCATTGTTCGACTGTTGGGGCATCTAACTATGGCATGGGCTTTGCCCCATCGAAGTGTAATGTGTTGTTCCAGCATTGGCCCACACCCGCTCCCGTGCTCATTCTTGATGGCGCACAACTTGAACAGGTAGTTACTTTGGTCTACCTTGGGAGATGTGTCTCCGATGGCAGCACTGTCAACAAGAAAGCTTCTCTTTGCATCGCTAGATGCCCGATCATCATTTGTCACTCGGAGGCATTTACGCCGTCCTCGTCTCAACATCTCATTCTCGCTAAGGGACCGTGTTTACAGTGCATTTATTCGTTCAGTATCGTTGTATGGGAGCGAGTCTTGGCCAATTCGCGTGGAAGACATGCGTCGTCTTTCTGTCTTCGATAACGGTTTTTTGAGGAGGATCGCTCCTGTTTGGTGGCAACACCAAGTTCACACTGATGATGTCTGATGTCCCGGTTTTGGGAATGCGAGTATTCCCTTAAACAAACTGGTTTTGCCGCGCCAGTTGAGACGGCTTGGTCACGTCTTACATCTGGTGCCTGAGCATTTACCGCGCCGCCCTCTATTCGCTCCTCAAGGACCTGTCTTGAGGCGACCGCATGGTGGTCAGCCTTCTACTTTGGGACAGCATATGGAATCCCTGACGTCGCGTCTAGCCCCAGTTGGACCCGTACGTTTTCCACGATAGGGTCCCGAGGATGAGGAGTGCCAATGGCCTAACACGCTTGAAGGCATGGCCAGCAACCGGAATAAGTGAAAGTATTGTGCATCGAATTGTATTCATTCACATGTTTAATACCTCAAACATTAAAAATGACAAAAAAGAGAAAAATCGGCGTGTGAAAAACAAACTGAAAATGTTTCGTTACAATTTTTTCCAAATTGTACGTTCCTTTGATTCTTATGATTTTCTTGATGGCCCCATAACCATTTCTTGAGCTGCTGATTATACATATGGTTGGCGGCATCCGGTTCCGGAGTTGCCTGTCACTGTGGTCTCTACAAGACGCCTGCGCCTACACAGCGACCTTGTTTGGCTTGCGCTACAGTTCGACCCACAGACCCTATATCCGGTATAAGCCCGAAGGAATAAGACGGGAGGCATGCGGATGGGAGCCGCATTTCATCAACGGAGCCGGCCCACACTCCTTCACAGGTAAACACAAGCACGTTGTATTTGGGAATTAATCGCACACTATTCGGTGCTTGGACCGTAGTCCGCTCCTCACTGAGTGCATGGAACCACTCTTCGAGCCTAGCACGGCCACTAGGACTGTGCATCCCGTCTACTCCAGCAACGATCAGCTGTCTCCTGCAGCAAGTATAGACGAAGTGGTGGGTAATAGATAGGTAGGCACCTTGTCAATATGCACATCAAACGCAGCCTCAACGGGGATGTCAGCCAACAGCCGATCACATGTAATGAAATGTCGAATAAAATAGATCGGATCCGCCGTATGGATGTGCCGCTAAATTAGCACCTGACGTATATGGACGATTTTGTATATATATATATATATATATATATATATATATATATATATATATATACCATTGTACACACGTGTCGTGTGAAGAAGGGTAAAATTTTCCTTCCTTCCCGCAGCACAGTAGCTGAAATGCGTTGCTCACCTTCAACCACTGTGCCTCTGTGATGATAACGCGGCGACTCTACCTCTTATCCATTTATCTCCATGATTTTGTTGGTTTTATGTCTATTTTTTAAACTGTTATTACTACTATTACTACTGCTGCTGCTGCTGCTACTAATTCTACCCACAGCTCCATTCACACACCTTATATCCAGTGTGAGCCTGAAGGAATAAGACCGGGAGGCAGGTGGATGGGGGCAACGTTTCATCATCGGGGTCGATCCACACCCCTTCAACATGCACAGCAGCAGCATTCCTGTCTATCTTAATGGGGGATGGCGGTGGCTAGGCCGTAGCCCGCTCCTTATTGGATGCATGAAACCATTCCATGAGCCTCATTCGAGGTTTGTCCACGGAACTGCACCCTTGCCGGCATGCTACTGTGCGGACATTCAGTTAAACTTACAAACTTACCCAACACTAGCCACAATGCCTCGCGGTTCACCGTATCAGCTGCTTTGATGAAATCAACAAACCGCGAGTCCAACGACTGGTCTCCTTTTCTACACTTCTTCAAGTGACGAGCCGCAAACACCATGTCGATTTTGCTGCGATCCAAACGGAACCTACATTGCTCTTCCGCCACGTTCGGTGGCACAACTTGACGGACGAGGCGGTTGAGCAGGATTCGGGAAATCACCTTGCCCACACAATTCAGCAAGCTTGTGTCACGATAATTCGTGTAGCATTGCTTGCTCCCTTTGCCATTGTACAGTGGTAGCGTAATGTAATCCTTCAAATCAGCCGGCACGTCTTCAAACAACACTGAGCCTAGAACCGTCACGAGGATGCTGCACCCTGTTCCCTCCAGCAACGACCAATCGAGGTGGAGGGTATTAAACAGGTAGGCACCTTGTCAACGTTCACATCAGGCCCAGCCACGCCGGGGAGCTCAATTAACATCCACTTTTGCAATGCAGGAATACTCACCACGCAGGCAAACGTACTACATACGCTACCTTATTGGCCTGGATTAGTAACTCGTACTCATCGTATTTCTATTCCGCGTGCAGTAATACCTTCTCCTGCACCTAGGCTACCGCCCTCTTGGTCAGTCCACAGAATTCGCACCGATCAACTTTGCTTTGGATTTGCAACACCTAAAATCAACATTAGTTCGTTATAAACTCACCATTATGTCCTGGTAATGTTTATTTTCGGTTTGCCCGCGTACCGCTTCCCGCCACTAAGTTGGCCATACAAAGGCGGTATGAGTATCCTCGTCGAATTCATTCGGTATACGTATGTATATAGATTGGCGTCATCCGTGGCCAATGGCAGTTCTAATACAACATTTGCACATGCGTTTGTTCAAACTTAAGTATGAACTGCCACAAATTGTATAGAGACAGATTAAACCTCATGAACAGTAGTATTAACACACGTGTATAAGTTTTGTTTGGTGGTCAGGCTGACAGCCACTTTCTCAGGCATGAGAATAAGTACCCAATACGAACTGTTGGTTTTTGCTTTTAACATTTAAACATAAACATAAATGACGGCCCTAAAGCTTGGGCATCTATATTTAAACGAAACCGATATAGGCATAGTGCAGCAACTGTCATTGGTACGGTTATTAGGTAGAATGATAAATAAAAAAAAGTGGTACAGTAAAATAGTGTGTACTTAGGTGTTGCCATCTATATGTACAGTCTGATTTGCGTAGCTGATGGGGAACATCGCACAGCGTGCGAATGCGATGGGGTGTTCACTTCAGTCTCTCCGTGTCGCCGACCTGTCCGGTCATCTGCTGCCCGAGGTACGTGCAGATTCTCAAAGAACGATTGTTGCGCAACCTTAAGCATTAACAGGTGGCAATACCACATATTCGCCGCTTACGACCTCGTTGGCAGTACTACATCAACTAAGTCCCGCTGTCCACTGTCAAACATGCGGCTTTCCAAACAGGGTTCGCATTGTTTTGCAAATGTCCAGGACGTAGCATGGCTGTCATCCAAGTACTCAACCTTTTGTA